GATGATGACATCTTTAAACCAACTTCATCGGGACGGTCATTCCACAGAATGAAAATCAATTGTAATGGATATAAAAATAGGTCGCTGTAGCCGCTGATCGTCTTACAGGGGCACTTGGAAAACAAGTAGAAAGTGTCCAACACCAGAACAAAGCAGCAATCAAGGAACACATATTATGAAAGGAGGAGGGGGCTGGCGGGAGCAGATGGCTGCTAACATGAAAAACAACTTTGTGCATAATAGCAAGAAAAAAGGGGAAAAGACTTTTCCTGAGACATTGGCATCTCCTATAGTCTTCATGGGATTGAAATTATTTTATTTTTTTAAATTTAATTTAATTTTTTATTGAAATACAGTCAGTTACAATGTGTCAGTTTCTGGTGTACAGTCCCATGTCCCAATCATGCATATATATATACATATGTTCATTTTCGTATTCTTTTATCATTAAAGGTTATTACACAGTGTTGACTATAGTTCCCTGTGCCATACAGAATTTTTAAAATTTGTTTTTATATATAGTGGCTAACGTTTGTAAATCTCAAACTCCCAAATTTATCCCTTACCACCCTCTTTCTTCAGTAACCGTAAGATTGTTTTCTAAGTCTGCAAGTGCTTCTGTTTGTAAATAAGTTCATCTGTATCATTTTTTTTTAGATTCTACATATGGGTGATATCATGATATTTGTCTTTATCTGTCTGAGTTACTTCACTTAGTATGATAATCTCCATGTGCATCCATGTTGCTGCAAATGGCATTACTTCATTCTTTTTCATGGCTGAGTAGTATTCCATTGTATAAATATACCACAGCTTCCTTATCCAGTCATTTGTCAATGGACATTTAGGTTGCTTCCATGTCTTGGCTATTGTAAATAGTGCTGCTATGAACACTGGGGTGCGGGTGTCTTGAAATCATTTTAGAATGTTCCTCGCAAGCCATCTGAGCCCTGGCAATGAGTCTTTACAGTATTTGTAACTTCTGACTGAGTAATTTCAATTTTAGGAATATTTCCTCCAGGAACTGTCAGAAAAGCAGGAAGAGATTTGTATGCACCAATAGTCACTGTCATATTGTTTATTAAACCTACAAATTAGGAAGCAACATGTAAATAAAGTAAATAAAAAGAAAACAGACGTGATCATCACGACATTTTTCAGAGGAGACAAGCTTAAAATTCCTAATGTATCAGTTGCTCCCGTAAATCAAGAAATGACAACATCGAAAAACGCTCAAAGAGAAAATGATTAAATATTGGAATCCTGTTCAGCAAGGAAATGACATAAGTTAAAAAAAAAAGAGGGACAGAAAATATTTAACCTCATTAGAAGTCAAAGGTAGAGAAACTAAAACTGAATTCTCAATAATTTTTGCCTACAAAAATCGTTAAAAGTTAAAACGCATAATGGCCAGTACTTGTCAATGGGGCCTGGTTTTCTTTGAAAGCAGCCAAGACGTGTACCTCGTGACCTTTATCACAATTTTAACACCATATTTATGTATCTGGTTTGTGATTAAAAGGTACATTTCTCTCACTAGAAGATCAGCCTCAGGAAGGTGGGATTTATACCAACTTTTTTCCCCTGTGTATTCCTGACACCCAGTAGGGCTCAGTCAATATTAATCAAAGGGTGGCTGAGCATTGATAGATTCTCAGTCCCTGCTCAACAGAGTATAAACACTCACCCATCCCGATGGTGTTGCTGAATTATGCGTCCGCGTTCATAAAACACACATCCTCGTTGAATCAGCCGTTCCCATCCCATCAATTTATCTCCAGAACGGCTTATTTTTCACTGAATGGGCATCTTTATCCCCCCTCACTCTGCGGGGAAAATGCCTCTAAATGAAAGAGGCTAATCAAGCCAGGGCACTGTGGCGAAGAGGAAGGCGTGCATGGGGACACAGGAGGGCTGAGGCAGGTGCCAGCACGCGGGCACTGGAGGGCAGGAGAGCAGAGCGGAACCCGGCGTGGCTCAGGGCGGGAGGGAGCGCACAGGGGCAGCTTCCTGGGACGGTGTCAGCCCTCGCGCAGATGAGGGACGGAGCCAAAACAGAAACACACAGGAAGACGGTCTGCGGAACCAGCGGCCGAGCCCTACCACCTTAGCATCCTGGGAGCTGCAGTCTCCATCCCCAGGCTTCCCTTCAACGAAGAGAGGGCGTTCTCTGCATCGAAGTGGACCGGGGACGGGTGGGGGGCTTCAGACCCTCCGTCTCCAGGACCAGTTGTTCCTAGCACTGGTCATCGAGGAAGTTCCAGCCAGCCTTGAGAAAACCCACGCACAAACCCACGGAGGAGCAGCGAGCCAGTTGGTGAGCCCAGCCCAACCTGGCCCGGCCCAGCCCGGCAGCCTGTTTCCCAGTGAACCTTCCATGGAGAGACCTTCACCTGCTGGAGACCTTGGTCTCCTCCTCCAGGTGGCTATAGGTGCCTGCATTTCCACCCTCCCACCTCCCTCCAAGCTAAAAGCAGAAATCGGTCCTGTGAAGAAGAAGGAAGAGGAGACGGAGATGAAAGAGAAGAAGGAGAAAGAAGATTTTTAAGCGAAAGAAGAGAAGACAAGAGGGAGAGGACGGGAGGTGGCGCTGGGGAGGAGGAGGAGGAATTGTATCTGAAACTGTTGCAGGGGAGCCTTCGTTGCGGGACCTGAATGCACCTTCTGGTCGCCGCTCCGTGGATGTGCAGCAAGGTGCCAACAATTCTCCTAACCTGCTGCTCCCACTTTTCTGCGGGGAGGAAACGCTGGTTCTTGTAGTGGGACTCAGACTTCCCCCGGACCACACCGTGTCCTGACGATGCAGTCCAGCCACTCTTGACACATCCCTCATCTGTGGAGGTGGCATCACCACCAGGAGACACATACAACTTCAAGGAAAGTCAAAGTGAGCAAATTAAGATATAAACACGGGCGGAATTCCGACATGGAAATTAATGGCGTGTGCGGCCGAATGAAGTCTCAAGAGCAGGGCGCAGGAGTGCAGAACATGCAAGGTCCTCTTTGTAAGTTGGGGGAGAGGAGTGTAGGGCAAGCTGACCTGACTTTGAGAGTAAGTGGAATCTGGGTGGGGGAAAGGTGGTTCTCAAAGGGGGAACCTCCAGTTGCTGCCTCGCGTGAGCTGGTTCTTGTCAGAGATCCATCTTCTGCGGCTCCGTCCCTGACGTACTTCCTCAGAAACCTCAGAGAAGGGGGCCATCGATCCATCTGCAGTAGCCTTCCAGGTGGCTCTGCTGTCACTCAAGTTTGAAAGCCACCAGTCAGGTATGGAAGCACAGAGGCGCCGCGGGAATAAACAAACGTGCTGTGTCCAGGGAGAAAGTAGGAATCTGAGTTGAGTCCAAGATGTTCTGCTTGCAAAATAGCCCCCCCCATCCCTGTCATGTGCATTTATCTTACAAGTAAAACAAAACGAAGCAGACAAGTCAAAGTGCAGGGTTCAGCCCAGTCTCTTCGAAGCGAGACGTAAAATGTGAATGCAAGAATTCTCAGGGTTTCTTGTTTGAAGAAACCGCCCGACCATCGGCTCCCATACAGAACTCAGTCGAACGCACGTTCTGACACGCCGAAGTTTCGCTGACAGAACTCAGTTAAATACAGAAGACTGCACCAAGGATGGTTTGCGCGAAGGTTTTACGCCATCATCTTAGTGTTTGCTGCACGACTCTAGAAACGGATCCACAGGGAAGAGAGACCAGAGATCCGTATTTCTGTCCCTGGTACTTCAGAACATGAAGTCGAGCGTGAAAAACAAAAAGTCAATCTTACAGGAACCTCATTTATAATCAGAAATTGATCAGGCTGGGATGTCGGTGCCGTGAAACCGTGACAAGCTGGTGGGGGTGGTGGTGGTGAGGGACAGAACTTACTGGGCAGAAATGGACTTCAAATGGGCGTCTGCCCTGGTTCCTGCCACGGGGGTGTCAGCACCAACATACCACCTGAAATAAATCACAACCACTGAAATTCAGGACCAAGACCCTCTTAATAGAAAGAAGACAAATGAGAGGAGAGTATGCCCCAGTTTTGAGAGGGAGTTGCAGATAACACCCTGTGTTAACTTTTTAAGAAGAGGGGTTTCTGTTTCAAGGACGAACAGTACAGCTTCAGAGAGACAAGGGCAGAGGTGTCTGTCTGTCCCCCACCGACTTCAGATGATTACCAACCAAAAATGAAGGACGCGAGACTATCAAAGCACATGCCTGAGTCAGGTAAACATTGGCTTTAGGACATGCAATTCTCAAGTTCAATGTACCTTGGGTCCTTTATAATAAAGTCAGTCTTACCTGAAGTATATAGAAAGGAGAAGAAACACACGGTAAAAATGTAGCGATTGTTAAATCGGTAAAAATGTAGCGATTGTTAAATCGGTAAAAATGTAGCGATCGTTAAGTCCTAAGCCAAGGGCAGACCTCCATCCTCGCTCTTTAGGTGATGGGTAACCCTGGGCGATGGGGAGCATGACAACGTCTTCCTAAGCAGCACGTTGCAAAATGCCAGTGAAGGTCGTGGAAGTCTGAAGGGAAGTGAAACCGGATGGAACACGCTTGCATTTTTTTTTCATTTTATTTAAAACGTGTGCACCGTCCTTTCCGAGATACCCTGAAAGATGATCCGCTCTTCGGCTGAGAGCTATCGTAAAATGCAGCCTGTGCATTTGTGATATAAACTGCACTGTATGAACTCTGTATGTTTTTTTTCCCCCTCTGTGAGCTTAACTTACTATCTGTTGATGCACGTTCTCAGGAGGAAACGCTCTTCCCCGTGAAGTTTTAATGCACAGCAAATGAGTTTAAATTGCAGCCAGTGATTGGGGTTACATAGGGCTGATTAAATCTGAACGCAGCTCTGGGTCTGAGCTCACTCCTTTCTGCTGTGAAACAGCTAACGTAATATTTGCTTAGTTACTTCTTTCTTAGTGAGTTCCACAAAGAGGGGGTGGGCTCTCGGCCTTGGTGGCAGAGAGCATGTGCTCCGTTTTGAGAGTTTCTGTTTTTGTTTTTCATGTGCAATGCTTCACGGATTGGCATGTCATCTTTGCACAGGGGCCGTCCTGATCTTCTCTGCATTGTTAACAGTTTTCGTATATGTACTGCCGAATTGAACACAAGAATGTCCGTTTTAAAATACGCTTTGGGGTCAGCGCATATGGGTGGATGTCCAGTTAATGCACATTTTCTCCGCATTTGGTATTTGCCAGTCTTTCTTGATTTTTAATAATTTAGTCACTGTGGAATGTACTGCTTTTAATTTCCCTGAGACTAACCAAATTGAACACCCTTAAAAATATATATATACACACATACATATTTGAGAAACATACAACATAAAAGAAAGTCACAGTGGGCAAAAAAGATATATACAGCATGAATTTATTATATACTATCAGGCATAAAATATAATATACTTATACAAAAACGTTAATCAAATTATAAAATTATATCTGTAATATATAAACATTTATATTTAAAACATTATATATGTGGGTGTTTGGCCATTAGATGTCCTTTCTGGTTTTTTTCCCTTGGATTTTAATTTATGGAAATCCCAAGCTACCAAATATATGCCTGATTTTTCTTCTGCTTTCACTCTTTTTTCCTTTTTCCCCAAAGTGCTTAGAAATATAATAATTTTAAAAGTAACATTGAAAAACAAGTTCAGCAAAGAAAAGTATTTCCTCTTGGAGCGTTCCCCCTGCCGATAAACCACACAGCCCTGCTGTGTGTAAACGCTGTGACTGTGAACGAGCAGGGAGTTCTGTGTGACCGGCGTGGCGTGGGACACCGCCCAGTTTCAGCAATGGAAGTCCTGTCTCGGCTTTGCTTATTAAACACTGCTGCTCTGGGCATGTGCTTCAGACTCCCCACACCTTGTCTTCCTTCTCACACGTTGACCCGGCCGGCTGCTGGAGGGCTGAACGAAACAGAACCTGTATTTCTGATACTTTGTACATTCACTTACTTAGATGACAGTCTCACAGAAGTCGATGTTCTGTTGCATCTTATCCCCAGCTACCTGGACTCGTATGTGAGTTTCTTTAAGCAAACTATGGCCTGGAGTCATACATAGCTTTCTGGAATGAAGCTCCCAGTGAACAGAGTAAAGTAAGAAAAAAGCCAAAAACCTCTGTCGATGGTTTTTTTTGTGTTTTGGGGTTTTTTCTTTTTTCTTTTTTTTTTTTTTGAATTGAATATAGTCAGTTACAGTGTGTCAATTTCTGGCGCACATCACGATGTCCCAGTCGTGTGTGTGTGTGTCTGTATATATATATGTGTGTGTGTGTGTATATATATATATGTTTTTGTATTCTTTTTAATTAAGGATTATTACAAGATGTTGAATATAGTTCCCTGTGCTGTACAGACAAAATTTGTTTTTTTTAATCTATTTTTATATATAGTTGTTAACATTTGCAAATCTAAAGGAAAAAAAAAGACACTAATGAACTCACCTAGAAAACAGACTCACAGATATAGTATGGTTACCTGGGAAGGGGGGTGGGAAGGGATAAATTTGGCACTTTGAGACATCAATGCTGTTTTGAACACTTGTATTTCACAGATTTGTCCTATTTTGCGGATAAACGTTCCCTATTTAGATAAATAATACGAATCACGATGCCTGGACGACTGTGTTGGGACCTACTCCACGGGTCACGAAACTGGAAAAATAAACAGTAAATACGCTGGCGCTGTCCTCTGAATCGCTGAGAGCAGGGCGCCTCCGAATGGAGCCTGCAACGGTTCTGTACATGTTAAAAGTGATCAGTAGGTGCTTCCGTCCGGCCTGATTCCCCCAGAACCTTACGGATAATACCAGCCATAATATTGCTAATTAGCAGAACAGTCCTTCTCTTCCTGTGATCGGTTACTTAATCCAATTAGAATGAGGTTGGATGTATCTCAGGCAAAATGATCTCAATCGTACCCACCCAGGTTTCAAAGACAAGCAGATTGAAGGACGTGCCATGTTTTAGGAGGACCTCAGTCACCTCTGAGAAGACGGTCTTGATTTCCAGGTCGGGGCATTCCTCGTGGGCCCAAGGCTAGAAGCCCCAGAAGAGCAGCAACAGTTCAGGGGTTCAACGAAGCGTGCGTTTCCAAAGACCCGTCCGTCTTGCACGTGTACCTGGAATATTATCACCCAACTTGGTGGTCAAAATGGTAACGAAAGAGAGAACCTTGCAGGAATCCATCCCCCCAAAAGATAATTTGTCTCAAAAATATTTTCCAAACAATAGGAGTCCAAAAATCACGTAGCAATGTTGGTACAGAGCGTGGGATTGTAGTTTCTCCATTTTTCTCCTTGGTCTTCTTTCAGCTGTTTTCCAACGAAATTTTTGTGCCAGAAACCGCTTTGCTCTCAGGAAAGTAAACTTTCTGTAGGTAAAAATAGACCACCATTCCTTTCCCCAAATTACCTTTAGAAGTTGCAGCCAGGGTTATATAAAGCAAACACTCGCCTGGTTAACTTGAATAATGCATACTAGTACCCTTTCGGGGAGGAGTCCTCACTTTTATTGCTGCGTTTTCACTGGCACGTGGGGCGAGTTTTAATTTTTAATTTAAGATTTTAGGGTGTCAAGTGCCGATCTAGACCATCGCAATCAGCCCCCGTCAGCGCGGAACAGGGAATGTGTGTTACTCGTCCAAGTCTTCCGTGTCCTTTCAGCGTCCCGGGTGATCCGCGCCCAGACTGGTTAACGCTGTGATTATCTAGGAGTCTGTTTCCACGAGTGAAGGGAAACGGGCACCTGCCGCTTCAGGACCACCATCCTTCTGCTTTCTTTCCTTTCCTTTCCTTTCCTTTCCTTTCCTTTCCTTTCC